TACTGGCTTGTATTTATTTATAGAAACATGTAAACGCCTGAATGAAATGAAAGGAACGAGACCAAACAGGCAACGCAAACAGTTTTCAAACAGCTCAAATCTGCAGTATGAAAACGGGCAGTTACACCCTCGAGCCCAGACAGGTGAAGGAAGGTGTGCTCGAACCTCTCAGCTGCAGACAAACACAAAGTACAACATGGCCGAGCGTGAGAGTGCCGCCATCACCTCACCAGCTCGCTTTTAGTTTGAGTCGCTTCTCAAGACGAAACACACACACACACACTGAGTGGGTGTGGCACTGCTGTTCTATCAGCTCGCTGCAGTCCTCAGGGCTCCGCCCTCTTCAGGGTTATCTCTCCCTGACTGTGGAAGCTCTGCCTGCAGGCAGGTTCAGAGGCAGGTGTGTGGTCGTGTCGCTCTCCCCTCTTCATCTGAAAGTGTGATGAAGCTTCTCTGCCCTGCAGAAAGATGCATTTCCTGTTTCTTACATAAGATAAGATGGCGAGCTGACCCCTCACTTCCTGGAAGTTCCAGGAAGTTGTCAGAAGTGCTCTGTCCTGAGCTGAACGTCCACAGCACCGATGCAGGGATGTTCTCTGAGCTGTGGTCCACTCGTCTTTATTCTCATTACACTGACCTTTGACCCGTTTACCTCAGTGAGCTAATCACAGGCTGGTGTGTGTGTGTGTGTGTGTGTGTGTGTGTGTGTGTGCACAGTGTGACCTGGTGTACACCTTCTTCCACCCGCTGCCCAGAGACGAGCGATCAGGAACGACGGCGAGCAAACCAGCAGGTACGTGACTTTGGACCCACGCGCTGTTTAATGTGTAAAGCTCGAGAACTGGAAACGTACTGGGAAGACTTTTTGTTTGCTCGGCGGGACAGTGGGCGGATTTTAGGAAGCCACAGTGGGCGGTTCCTCACACCGATTAGACGGGGGCGTTACCCAATGAGGAGTACTCGTATCAAATATAAGCTTATCTGAGGTCAGACTGCACCAAAGAGGTTTCGCTCTGTTAAACTTTAACTCACACAAAGGTCAAAGGTCAGTGCTCTGTGACTCAGCATGTAACAGCAGATCTGTGGCATGTTTTCATACAGACTCACTGCTGATTGGTTACATCATCACAGCGTGATTACGTCCTCCAGGGAAGCAAGATTTAAATACATGCCCTCTCCTTCAGATCAACATATGAAGCATCGTAGCGGTTTTATTACTGGAACAGAGGTCGCCTTCACCAAAGCGCTGTCGCCATCGTAAAACACCTTCCTCGTTACCTCGACCCTCATCTCCTGAAGTCGGGGCTTGAACACACCAAAGCACAAACTGCTCATTTGTTACTCATATTGTCTTAATTAATTATTGTCCACAGATTAGACATGTGACAGCGTGTTCATTGATCCACCTCGAGGAATTTGAGCATCGATGTAACGGTTAGAACTATTGGGGAGAAGCTGCTAGTTTTACAGGCACTGAGCTAAGAGGTGGCCGTGACTGATGTCAGGTCATCGTGTCTACTGCTGCCCCGCACATTCCTTTGTACCAACACCCTCCCATCTCCATGACGACAAACCAGCAGGAGGTTATTCAATTCAATTTTATTTACACAGCACCAAATCACAACAACAGTCGCCTCAAGACACTTTATATTGTACAGTAGATCCTACAATAATACATACAGAGAAAAACCCAACAATCATATGACCCCCTTTGAGCAGCACTTTGGTGACAG